ATTGTCCATCGTTGCGCCTGTGTTTGTTTTTTTATTTTTTTATTTGTGTGTTTTACTGGAATTGCTAGAATATTGTTACGTTGGTGTATTGCTACACAACACAATGTAGCTCTTATTTTTTACATTAGCATTGCTAATGCTCTGTTCCTTCTTTTTGTGTCATCTTGTTTTTCTTTAATATTTTTTTACAATTTTTTTATATTTTTAAATGATAAAGAAATATTTAATGCAACAAATAAAAAAAATAAAAACTAACATAATATAAAGAAGAAGACAATTTAATTTTCTGTGACCAACGAATAACTATATGCGACCGACTAGTGTGCAAATGGGTATCAATATTATTTTGGAAGGGGAAAAAGTAATTTGCATGTGAATGACATGTAATTGTCTGCAACATGTAATTGTGTTCGATCGAGGACATGCAATTGCATGCGGCTGACATGTGTGCAACTGGGTAGACGGACAAGCAACTCATGTGGCCGACGTGTGTGCCACCTGATGGCAAATATTTAAAAAGTAAAAACAATTAAGTTTGCTAGCAAATATTTAAAATACGGATTTGAATCTTCCCTCATCCCTCACAAAACAATAAAAAGTTGCACTCTCTTTGAAGACATGCAATTATAGTCGGGCGACGCTTGCACTTGCGTACATAGTAGCATCTGCAATTGCCTTCCTTCACCCGGATATAACAATACTGAGTTGGAGTTGCAATCAGAAGACGCGCATGCAATTGCGTAACTATTAGAAGACATGCAATTGCAATCGGGGCGAAGCTTGCAGTTGCGTGCCTACTAGCAAACTCCCTTCACAACAGTATTAAAAATGTGTCCGGGGATTTGGACAAGTAACTCTTCTCTCTTTTAATATGCTCCTTTTTTGAGAAAATGAGCTCTGCTGTCAGAATCAGATACAAAAAAATAATGTTCATCCTTGGAAAAACAAAAAAATGCAAAAAGAAAAAAGGAAAAAAATGTGTATGATTTCAAAAAATAAGAAAAAAACACATACTGGTTGTGAGATCGGGTGTTTGATTTGTGTTTGCGGGCATGGCAGAAAACAGGGGTGTTTGGTGCTTGTGTGACACATAGCGAGGGTAGGGGATTCACGGGGGAGCTTCCCCCTTCGACCAAGAAAAAAAGTCTAGTTGCAAAAAACTTTTGTAAAAAGACATGTAGTTATAGTCTAGGGGACAACGCTTGCAATTTCATGACTAGTTGCCCCCCTCTCTCTTGTTTGCGCCCCTCCGACAAAACAAAGGCGCCTAGTTGCCACTACGTTAGAAGACACTAAGTTGCGACCATGCTAGAAGACATGCGGTTGCATGAGTATAGTCAGACATGCAACTGGACACCTCTCTCTCGTTGTCGCCCCCTTCGACAAAACAAGGGTCCCCCTAGTTGCGACCAAGTTAGAAGACATGCAGTTGCGTGCCCGTTGTGGGGCATGCAACTGGCCCCATCTCTCTCGACGGCGTCCCCTCCGACAAAACAAGGGTCCGCCCCAGTTGCAACCATGGTCGAAGACATGCATTTGCATGCCTAGTGTGGGACATGCAACCGATGCCTCTCCCCATACAACAAAAAATGGAAGTTGAGTTGCAACCAAGTTATAAGGCATGCAATTGTGTGCCCATTGTGGGACATGCAACCGGTGCCCCTCCCCGTATAATAAAAATGGAAGTCGAGTTGCAACCAAGTTGTAGGACATGCAGTTGCGTGCCTAGTGTTGGACATGCAACTGTGCCCCATCTCTCTCGATGCCGCCCCCTCCAACAAAGCAAAGGTCATCCCAGTTGTGACCAAGTTAGAAGACATGGAATTGTGTGCCCATTATGGGACATGCAACTGGCGCCTCTCCCTGCATAATAAAAATGGAAGTCGAGTTGCAACCAAGTTATAAGACATGTAGTTGCGACCATGGTCGAAGACATGTTGTTGCGTGCCTAGTATGAGACATGCCAGTGGTGCCTTTCCCCGTACATAAAAAATGAAAGTTGAGTTGGAACCAAGTTATAAGACATGCAGTTGCGACCATGCTCAAAGACATGCAGTTGCGTGCCCATTGTGGGACATGCAATTGGCGCCCCTTCCCGTACAACAAAAATGAAAGTCGAGTTGCAACCAAGTTATAAGACATGTAGTTGCGACCAAGTTAGAAGACATGCAGTTGCGTGCCTAGTGAGGGGCATGCAATTGGGCCCCATCTCTCTTGACGCCCCCTCCGATAAAACAAAGGTCATCCCAGTTACGACCAAGTTAGAAGACATGGAGTTGCGTGCCCATTGTGGGATATGCAACTGGCGCCTCTCCCCCCACAACGAAAATGGAAGCCGAGTTTGCAACCAAGTTATAAGACATGCAGTTGTGACCATGGTCGAAGACATGCAGTTGCGTGCCTAGTGTGGGACATGCAACTGGTGCCTCTCCCCGTACAACAAAAAATGGAAGTTGAGTTAACATTGCAACCAAGTTATAAGACATGTAGATGCGACCATGCTCAAAGACATGCAGTTGTGTGCCCGTTGTAGGACATGCAACTGGCGCCTCTCCCTGTACAACAAAAATGTATGTCGAGCTACAACCAAGTTATAAGGCATGCAGCTGGGCCCCATCTCTCTCAACGCCGCCCGTTCGACAAAACAAAGGTCCTCCTAGTTGTGATCGAGTTAGAAGACATGGAGTTGCGTATCCATTGTGGGACATAAAACTGGCGCCTCTCCCCGCACAACAAAAATGGAACTCGAGTTGTAACGAGGTTATAAGACATGAAGTTGCGACCAAGTTAGAAGACATGCAATTGTGCGCCTAGTGTGAGACATGCAACTGAGCCCCATCTCTCTCGACGTAGCCCCCTTCGACAAAACAAAGGACCCCTAGTTGATACCAAGTTAGAAGATATGCAGTTGCGTGCCCATTGTAGGACCTGCAACTGGCGCCTCTCCCCGCACAACAAAACTGGAAGTCGAGTTGCAACCAAGTAAAACCAACAAAAGGGCTATACAACTCCTAGCTATGTCCCAGTAATACATATGAGGGGATTTGAGTTCAGAGATAATCCTCAAAAACATGGATCTAATTTTGTGAAAGTAATGTTTCAGCAAAATCATATTCTTCGACCTACTAATAAAACAAAACAAGTGAATTGAATCACTCCTGCTAATGGCTTCAGTAATGTGTATGAGGGGATATGAGAGAAACACTTCTTGAGACACCAAAAAATATCTCACTAAAGAACAGTATAAATGATAGCACTCACCAGATTGAAAAAAGAAAAAATGTGTCCAAAAGAAGATAACTAGCAGAGGTTTATATCCTAAAAAACAAAAGAGAATGTCAACTTAGCAAAAACCCTAAACACACGTCTGTCTTGTCACCTTCTCATGAACAGAGAAAAAATGCACTATACTCTCTGTACAGAGGATGTACAGAGGGTGTGTGAAAATTTCTCTATAAGTACGTACAAACATAAAAAAAATTTGTTGATAAAATACTACTTCCAGTACAATCCAACGGAGAAACACACTTCATCTTCAATCTCTTGGCCTACTAAAAGAAATTTAGTACTACTAGTTGTAAAACAATCTTTACTAGAAAGAACCTCAAAATATGAGTAAAATATTTTTTGGTAATACATAAATAAGAAAAGCAAAAACTATAAAAAGAAATAGGCAATATAATAAACAAAAAAATCATGTAGAAAGGACATCAACAAAGTTAGAGTAAATATAGCTCAAGCGTGTCAAAATGTTTGTTTTACAATTTTTTAGATGGTCCATATTTCAATAAAAAATATATAAATATAAATAAATGTAAAAATAGCTTAATAAAAACAATAAATAAATACACTAAAATAAAAAAGAAAAAATAAAATAAAAAGGAAGGATAAAAGTAGACGTGAATACACAAACTGAGCTGCCCTAGTGAGCTTCTTACTGTGCACACTTGCCAAACAAAAAAATAAAGAAAAATACAATGCATTCACCTGGAAGACCTGTCAGAAAATAAAAAACAGAAAAGAAAAAATATAAAGAACTGCAAGCGACAACCCATAGCCCAGATAGGAAAGCAATGCGGTGGCAGAAGGTCCAGTGCCCGCTGGGACAAAGCCCAGTACGTTTTGGACAAGAAATACATCAGGGCAACAGAACACAGATCGATCAAGGCAAAAGCAAATCGTACAACTAATCTCGTCGACGGAGACTTCATTAAATCTCAGTCGACTGAGATATAGCAAACCCCAAAATTGGTACTGCATCTTACTCCTAGATTGTAACTTGTGTTAGTATGATACTCCCTCCGTCCGAAAATACTTGTCATCAAAATGGACAAAAAGGGATGCATCTAGAACTAAAATACATCTAGATACACCCCCTTTTATTCATTTTGATGACAAGTATTTCCGGACGGTGGGAGTATTTAGCAAGCAAAGATAGTGTATTGCCAATCATCATACACCTCTTACTATGTAGCATTCACACAGTCCCCCTCATCGAAACCTATATCCCCTGTTCCAGTTGTTACAAGACATGGATAACAATAATTCCGAGTGATAGTTATTCTCTAGTTATGCAGAGAGAAAAATGTAGGCATTATCCAGCAACACTATTCCTTGACTGCAACTTATGTTACGATGTCACACAAATGCATCACAATTTCTCATACACCGAATCCAGACAAATGCATCACAATTTGTCATGCATCTAACTAATTCACAATCAGAGCATATTTGCAAAGGAAAGAAAAACAAACAAAATCTCTTTTCAGAACTTCTGTTTCCCATCCACAATTTCTTTTCAGAAAACAAACAGTTATAAAGATAGTGGCTTTACTCGACGATCTCACATTATGATCAACAGATCCTACTCTTGGAACACTAGTAGACAGGCTCATTGAAATAAGATCACAGAGGAAAGAACTCATATGCAATGAACCCATTCACAAGGCGTTCAAGCTTCAAAGCTTATGTAAAACTAAGAAGCTATGTAAGCATGCAGCTTAGTAGCAATTGAATCGATTACCTGCGGCATAGATCCGGGTCGATTCAAGCGAGGGTGGAAGAACGCATGATACACAGAACGTGGAGCCATTGTGCAGAGAGCTCCCAATCACCTCCTCCTTGCTCATGTCCACGCCGATGATGTGCATGCCGACCGTGAGGTAGATGACGTTGCCGTTCAGTGGGTCAAGGGCGCCAATTTGTGGCGTCGTCTTCTCCGGCAAGGGCAGCCACGGGTAGTCTCCACCCGCCCAGAGCCGGCTGAGCGCCATGCGGTGCTCCAGCGTCCAGCCGCCGCCCTCGTCGTCCAGCGCAAAGGAGCTGAGTACGAACGGCTCACGCTCCCACACCTCGGCGTAGCGCACCCTTCCCTCGCTGACCCCCATGCGCCGGTACCTGCCCAGTGCAGCTCTGGACACGGCCTTCATGCCCTCCAGGTCAAGCCACCCTGCCGCCCGCTCTGGGCGTGCTGGCACCACGCTGCCCCTCGGCAGCTCGACGAAGTGGGGCTCCGGCCGGTCGCTGAACGGGTCGGCCGAGATGACACCCCAGCTCAGGTCAGCCCACCACAGCCGTCCGCCGAAGGCGAACGCTTCTTGGTCAGTCCGGCCCGTCTCGGAGTAAAACCGCCGAGCGAGCGGGAGTTGCCACGGCGCGGTGACCGCGACCTCCCACTCTGCTGTGTCCGAGAGAAAGAGGAGCATCATGTTCCCCTGCAGCTCGGCGACGGCGAGCCTGCCGGGATCCCCGTGCGCGCGACCGGCTTGGGTGAGGACGCCCATGTGAGGGCCGCACCCGAACTTCTCCTGGCCGGCGCCGATCGCCGGGAGGCGGGTCAGTTGGCCGGTGAGAGGGTTGCAGAGGAAGCGCGTGATGTCTGGGGTGTGCCCGGGGTCGAGGCCGGTCAGCTGGCGCACATGGTTGGCACCTTGCTTGGCGAGGATGGGGGCCGTGGCGTGGAGATCGTAGACGATGAGGAAGAGGAGGCCGTCGGCGCTGGTGGAGCAGACGCGGCCGATGAGGAGTTGCGTGACGTCGCTGTCGGGGTCGGGGCCGGCGCCGGCGTCGACTAGGAGCGCAGGCACGGTGAGGGCGGAGAAGCGCGGGGGCTCGACGATGCGCACGGACGCGCCCAGTGCTGCCGACCGGGTGGTCAGCGTCACCTGGTCGAACAAGATCCAGGGAGGACGGGAGTAGGCACCCATGGAGGTGGACAGGGAGCGGCTTAGGCGGCCGGAGATGGCGGCGGAAAGGCCTAGGAGGCGCCGGAGCGACATCGTGATGCTGCGGTAAGGCGACGAGAGATCGCGGCAGAATGAATTCCGATGGTAAAAGAGGCCTCGGCTCTCGTGGACTCGGTGCACGCAGCTGAGGTATGGGGGGTGGTTGGAGGTGGCAGGCGCTGATGAAAGCTGCGTGGGGTTGTTCCACTGCGCACTCACGTTTACACCTCTACCGAGCCCACAGGTCAGTGATTACAGTCCACATGGACCCGGTCTATGCACAGCATTCGCATGTCGGTAGTCTAATCTCTGCAAAAAGATGGTTTTGAACGGGCCTGTGCTGGGCATACGTCATCGTTTTCCCGCCAAAAATTGCTGGAGTGGCTTTGTGCTCTATGCCTCTATTCGACGGTTGTCCGCTAGAACCCCAGTCATACCGTCCTCTTCCCCGTCTCAGCAATCTCAAAACTTACAATTTGCTTGTCTCAAAAATGAAAATTCATCCAGCCTGTGAACTTTCAGAAATTCCGGTAGGAACATTTTCGGCGGAAAACAGAAATTTGAACTAGAACAAAATAAAATGCCAGACCGAAAACCTGTCTTTTCAAGTAAACTGTGACCCATGAATAGAAAGCATGTGTTCCATGTGCGGAAATTACTACAAATACTCATTGAACATCTTCTGGGCTTAACTCCCCTTCATAGCCGCTGCTAGAGGGGACACCGGCAATGCTCGTGCGTTCCCCAGGGAAGGCGACAGCGGGGCGTTTTCTGGTGGGTGCGCGGTGGATCTGGGTTTGCTCCGCTCTAGGGAAACTGCCTCCCTCGACGGGGGTCTCTCCTCGTTACAGGAGGCCCTGGTTGGGATGATTATGGGTAGTTGCGATTGATCTGTGACCTTAAGGTGTTGCCTTATGTAAATAGTGGCCCCCTGGATGCTATCCCCAATGCGCGAGTGGGGGTTGACATGTTGCTGATCTAGATGTGCTCTAGTGGTACCATTGAAAGTGCAACTATCCCTAGGTGGTTTTGGTAATTCATATCAACATATAGCTCATTGAGCTAATACTATTCCAAGACAAATATTGTAGGAAAGCTCAATGAATGACATTGGCATGGATGATGAAAGTGGATCCCTCAAAATATTAAGGACAAAAGGATTGGCTCAAGCTCAAAAGCTCAAGACTCTACATTTTATATTTTAGTGATCCAAGATCACATTGAGTTTATAGGAAAAGCCAATACTATCAAGGAGGGATGAGGTGTTGCTTAATGAGCCTCTTGTTTCAAGTGCTTAGTGATATGCTCCAAAAACCCTCAACTACTTTCTCATATCCACATATGACCTAAAACTTAAGTCAAAATCGGTCCCACCGATTCTTTATATCCGGCGCCACCGAGTTCAGATGTCATAGCCATTGCCACAAACCCTAGGCAAATCGGTCTCACCGATAGGGATCTCGGTCTCACCGAGATGGGATTGTAATCTCTCTGTTTCCTTTTGTAACGTTTCGGTCTAACCGAAGTGAGCGATCGGTCCCACCGGGATTGCAATGTAAACTCTCTGTTTCCCTTTCGTAACATTTCGGTCTCACAGAAAAGAGCGAATCGGTCCCATCGAGTTTACCTGACCAACTCTCTGGTTAGCTAATTACCAAAATCGGTCTCACCGAGTTTGTGTAATCGGTCTCACCGAGATTACGTTATGCCCTAACCCTAACCATATCGGTCCCACCGAGTTGCATGTCGGTCCCACCGAAATCACTAACGGTCACTAGGTTTACTGAATTGGTCCGACCGAGTTTGTTGATTCGGTCCCACCGAGATTGGTAAATTGTGTGTAATGGTTAGATTTTGTGTGGAGGCTATATATACCCCTCCACCTCCTCTTCATTCTGAGAGAGACATCAGAACATGTCTACACTTCCAACTTACCATTTCTGAGAGAGAACTACCTACTCATGTGTTGAGGCCAAGATATTCCATTCCTACCATATGAATCTTGATCTCTAGCCTTCCCCAAGTTGCTTTCCACTCAAATCTTCTTTCCACCAGATCCAAATCCTATGAGAGAGAGTTGAGTGTTGGGGAGACTATCATTTGAAGCACAAGAGCAAGGAGTTCATCATCAACGCACCATTTGTTACTTCTTGGAGAGTGGTGTCTCCTAGATTGGCTAGGTGTCACTTGGGAGCCTCCGACAAGATTGTGGAGTTGAACCAAGGAGTTTGTAAGGGCAAGGAGATCGCCTACTTCGTGAAGATCTACCACTAGTGAGGCAAGTCCTTCGTGGGCGATGGCCATGGTGGGATAGACAAGGTTGCTTCTTCGTGGACCCTTCTTGGGTGGAGCCCTCCATGGACCCGCGCAACCGTTACCCTTCGTGGGTTGAAGTCTCCATCAACGTGGATGTACGATAGCACCACCTATCGGGACCACGACAAAAACATCCGTGTCTCCAATTGCGTTTGAAATCTCCAAACCCTTCCCTTTACATTCTTGCAACTTGCATGCTTTAATTTCCGCTGCTCATATACTCTTTGCATGCTTGCTTGAATTGTGTGAAGATTGCTTGACTTGTGCAAAGATAGCTAAAATCTGCCAAAGTCTAAAATTGGGAAAAGGTTAAGTTTTTAAGTGGTCAAGTAGTCTAATCACCCCCCTCTAGACATACTTCAAGGTCCTACAAGTGGTATCAGAGCTTTGGTCTCCATTTGCTTTGATTTCCATAGCTTTTGGTGGTCATAGCCATGGTTTCACAACCTAGGAGAGTATGGCGTCTAGCGAGGGAAATTATCACCGTAGAGGTCCTTACTTTGATGGAACTAATTTTGCTAGTTGGAAGCATAAGATGAAAATGCATATTCTCGGACATAACCCTGCCGTTTGGGCTATTGTGTGTATTGGCTTGCAAGATGAATTCTTTGATGGGAGGGAACCAAACCGTGAAGCTAGCGCAGATGAATTGAAGATGCTGCAATACAACGCTCAAGCTTGTGATATCCTCTTCAACGGATTATGCCCTGAAGAATTCAAGAAAATCAGCCGTCTTGAGAATGCAAATGAAATTTGAGATACTTTGATTGATATGCATGAAGGTACCGACTCCGTCAAGGAATCCAAGTTGGATGTGCTCCAAAGTCAGCTTGACAAGTTCAAAATGAAGGATGGTGAAGGTGTCGCTAAAATGTACTCTAGGCTTTCTCTTATCACAAATGAGATTGCTGGCTTAGGAAGTGAAGAGATGACCGACAGATTCATCATTAAGAAAATCCTAAGAGCATTGGATGGAAAGTATGATACTGTGTGCACATTGATTCAAATGATGCCCAATTACAAGAATCTCAAGCCAACAGAAGTCACTGGTAGAATCGTTGCTCATGAGATGTCACTCAAGGATAAAGAGGAACTTCACAACAAGTCAAGTGGTGCTTACAAAGCCTCATGTGAAGCTCCTACATCATCAAGTGATAAACAAACCTTCAATGAAGAATTGAGCTTAATGGTGAAGAATTTCAACAAATTCTACAAGAGTAGAAGCAAAGAAAGAAGCTCTAAGTCAAGGTCCTACAATGACAAAAGATCTTCCAGTCGAGAGCGCAATTGCTACAATTGTGGGAGACCCGGACACTATTCCAATGAGTGTACGACACCCTACAAGAGAAGAGAAGATTCTCCCAAGAGAATAAGTAGAAGAGAAGAATCACCACCAAGAGAGAGAAGGAGTAGAGATGATCGTTATGAACGAAGAACATCCCGGAGAAGCAAGGATTCAGAAAGGGAGGACAAGTCATCAAAGAGCTACACAAAACGAAGGCATCAAGCTCATGTTGGTGAATGGGTATACGGTTCCGACTTTGAACATCACTCCGAGAGAAGCTATCACTCTGACTCCGAACATACTCAAGATGAAGGTGTTTCCGGTCTAGCACTTGTGTCAACCAACTCCTACAACATATTTGATTCACCAAATGAAGGAATTGGAAGATGCTTCATGGCTAAAGGCCCCAAGGTAACTCATCCCGAGTATGTTGATTTCAATAGTGATGAAGATGACTTGTTAGGTGATGATGATTTACTTATTGACAACTCTAGTGATGAATACTATGATGAAACACCAATTAATCATGCTAAACAAGATAAAACGAATGACAATGATAAGGAGAAGATTGAGGTTTTAACTAAAGAACTAAACACTCTTAAGTTAGCTCATGAAACTATCTTAGGGGATCATCGAGAACTTTTGAGGACTCATAAGAAGTTACACTTTGAAAAGCTCAATCTTGAGCAAGAGCATGAGTTCTTAAAGGCAATCAATGATGATCTTCGCAAGAAAAGTTCTTCTTACATTGCCAAGCGTTTACTCTTATCTACTTACATGCCTCAAGTCAAGTCTAGTAACAAGAACAAGAAGGATTCTTCCTCTAGTAGCATTAACAATAATAATGCTAAATCCAATATTGTTGCTTCTAGTAGTTCTCTTGATTCCACTAATGATTCTCTTAGCCAAGTTACACTTGAGCAAGAAAATAGCTTATTGAAGGGAATTATAGAGAAAGGTGTTTACAAAAGCCTTGCCGGGAGTAAGCAATTCGAGGAAATTGTACGCAAGCAAGGAAGGCACCGGAAGAATCAAGGTGTTGGTTTTGAATGAAAGTTCAATGCCAATGGAGTTGAGTGGGAAGAATATCAATACCCCAAGACGAAGTTTGTTCCTCAACAAGAGAAGTATGATCCTACTTCCTTCAAGGGAACACAAGCACAAGATGATCTTCCACCACAAGACCACAAGAACAAAGGCAAGGACAAGCTTCAAGAGGAGATTGATGCATTTGAAGAAGCACCTAAGGCCTTGGTCAAGTGGGTTCCCAAGACTACATCAAGTTCTACTTCATCAAGTACAACTACAACTCCAAGGATTCCCATCAAGATGATGTGGATCCCTAATAAGAAGAACTAGAGAGTTCTTGAGGGTGACTCCGCCAACATTCTTCACTCATATCATTATGGCAAGGACAAGTGCAATCAACTTCCATATCTTGCACTAGTTCAAG